AATTGCATGCTCTTAGGAGATAGTGGAACTAATTTTATTTTAGATAAACTGGGATAAAGACCATGCAGCTACATTCCTGTGAAGGGTCTGAAATTACAGTGGTACTCAGTTTCTCACCACTTGTTGATGCAGTGGTTCCTGACACCTTCCTTCCCCTGCGCTTTATCTCTGTGGATGACCACAGTTCACTTGTGATCTATGGAACAAATGATATGGAAAAGACAACTTACTTGCTGGTAGCAGAGGTTTGAATTTTAGTGCACAATACAGTTTCCAAATGCTGGATGCTGTCTGTGGAAGACATGAGGTTGCTTCCTTGTATCCTAAACACTACACATTCCCTCTAGCAGAGCTGCCTCATATCATACCTAAGCTGCTAGTTCTTTATTGGGGTAGAGATGGTAACAGCAGCAGTGGCTGGATGTGCCAGTCAAAGGCTCAGCACCTGCTGCCTGCATGCACCATCTCTCACACAGTTGTTGATGTTTAAAATATCTTCTACTCAAATCTGAAATGGTGTTTGTAAGCCCAGAGCAGGGAATCCAAGTAATGGTCCAGTATTTGCACTACGCATCTCCTCCATAGTATTTCCTGTTTCCCCCTTTTCATTATACATTCTAGAGTCTCTACAAAGCAGAGTTATTTTCCTCTTCTATATTGATGAGAAGGTGGATGTTTTCCACCTAGTTGCCAGACAAGCAAGATTTGGGGATTTTTGAAATTATTATTTTACTTCTGTATCAGGATAAGAGGACAGTCGGGCATTTCTAGGGCTTTGTGTGGGATCTTTGTCCAGTCTTTTGTTAGGGCACTCTGGGCACCATTCTTCAGGGCCTGAGCCCAGGTGCGGGTCTGGGAGCTGATAACGGGGTCCACCAACAGCCCCCAACATGGCAGGTGATGAGCCAGGGCCAGGGGCCATCCAGGAGGCCCAACTGGTGCAAAAGGGGATGAGACAGGGGCACAGCTGTAGACAAGCTACAGCATGCATACAAGAGGTCCGTCCAGAAAGCTTAGCTGGAGACCAGCACTCTAGTGCTGCCACTGGGACAGTGACTGATGACCCCAGGCTGATCTGAAATGGGGTCCTGGACCATGGACAGGGGTGTGGGGAGGTCCATGGTGGGACAGGGTAGGGTCAGTAAGGCCTGTTAGTGCCCCCAGGCTCCTCTTCTATCACTCTGGGTAGCACCATGGCCCTAACCAGCAGCAGGACCCAATGGTTACAGTTCTGACTTGATTGTGCAAAATCTTGCATTTTATTCTTACTGCTGAACACCACCCTGGTACATGTTTGTGATCATGCTTCTGTTTCTCCATCCATAAAAAGGAGGATGGCAGGTCTCATTGGGAAGGTATAGGGCTTAGCTGCTTACTGGAACTTTGCATAATAAAAATGCTTTCTAAGCATTGTTAATTAGTTATTACAGCATTTGTTGCTGATGGAATGTAAAGCATCTTGCAGAAATATCCCTTTCCTTTTCCTAGAACAGAAGTTTCAACTCATACAGCTGCATATATCTTCGGGGAATCTCTTTACACTCTTGTCCTTGATTATGTGTCCTTGGAAGATGCTCTATCTGTAAGTTTTTAGACATATTAGTTTTATGCATTAAAACATTTTTTAAAATTCAATGGTGGCATCAGTTTCAAACCAAAAAGAAAACCCTAATAAATAGAATATACACAACGGTACACACATTTTTTTCTGGAGAAAGAGGATGAGAAATACACATGGTTTATTTCACTTGCACTGCTGACAGCACAGTTGAAAGGTGCTTAAAGATCATTATGAGGATCTCAAGAGAACAACCTGATAGAACAGAAAAGTGATGCACTAAAGAGCGTTAGAGAGATTCCTACTGACTGCAGCAGGCTTCAGATCAGGCAAACACAAATCCGTGTCTTAAACAGAGACTTAGAGGCAATGCTGACAAACGCGTAATCTGAGTCTGGACATAGCCAGAGGAAGTAGAGTGCCTAGGTAGGCCAGTATTTTATGAATCTTCCTGGCTGTGTCTGTACAAAAGATGCCTTTAAAATAGCAACACTATATATGTTTATAGTTTCTGATTGAAGGGTTATTTTCAGTACTCAAGTAACATATTTATTACTGACATATGTCCTCTAGCTTTCTGTAAAGCATATAAAGCTATGCATAATGTTAAATAATGTTGTTTGTTATTTTATGCATGTGTAATGTTAAAAAATGTAGGATTTATAGAACATAACTTTGAATATTGACAATCATCTGATCTGTCTTCAAAGACAAGATGAGCAACTATGGCTGCAGTCTTCCCGACACAAAGCCATTTAACTGTTCTGTGGAAAAATGCATTAATGAAGACCTCTAAGCCCCTCCAGGCAAACTGTTCTGATATCTGATTGTTCTTATTATGCAGCAAACTGCCTAACCTAGATTTCCTTTTGCTGTATCTTAAATCTGTTACTTCACTCATTTCCCAGCAGATCTGGAGGAAAGTCTATTGCCTCCTTTTCCTTGCCTTTCTGAACAAAAAGACTGAAAGCATCTCCCTACGCCACCTTCTTGCTAATCGAGCCCAGTTTTTTCCCTGTCAGTCACACTTTCCAGGTGTCTCATCACCCTGTGTTCTGTGCAGAATCTTCCCCAGCGTTTTTCTTGGAACATTTTGAAGGACTTTGAACTGGACCCTGTCTGCAGTGGCCTTGTGGAGGGCAAGTGGGAGGATGAGTTGTGTGTCAAATACCTTTGTTTCTGCAGTACTGCCCACCACCATGTAGCTGAAAAGATGAGCTCATGGGATGGCACAAAGTCACATTCAGTTTATTCATTGTCATACCCAGACTCTTTTTCTGGGGAATAGCTGAGGAACTGTTACCTATTCAGTTATTTCTTCTCTTCTGCAGCTGTCACAAACGTGATGCTCTATGCTTGTTGGTATTGAATTGTGCTCTACTGTCTGAATTCTGCCATACCTGGTCAATTTTACCTCCTATAGTGCTTACAGTTTGGCATTGTCTGCAAATTAAAGAAAGGTACAAGTCACATGTGACTTGAAATACCAAGTTTTTCAATGGTGCTGGAAAACCCTAATAGATACATCTTCCATGCTGACTGTGAATCCTTGACAACTATGCTTTCATTACAACTATCCAGCTGGCTGTGCACTCACCTTCCTGCACTTTCAACCAAACCATGTTTTCATAGCCCATTTATGAGAATCTCATAATGTCAAAAGGCTTGCTAAGATGCAAAGAGATGATCACTGCTGCTTTTTCCCTATCCGCAAGGCCTCTGAGTCTGCCCAAAATGGAAAATAAAATGAATTTAATTAGAGCTTGTCCTGAACAAGCCCATGGTGACTGTTGGTTATGACCATACAAATTTGAAGTACTAAAATGGGGATACTACTTGATTGTCTGTTCTTCATCTTATTTTATGCTTAATTGTCATAATCTAGCTAGAAATTCTTTTACATGGCCTTCCTGCATTGAAACATAATAAACTGTGCTTGCTCATTCCCCATCTTGTGAACTCAGTCTATTCTCAACAGTTTTTCAGTAACAATTACTAGCAGATCTGGGGCCAGGTAAACCTGATGGAATTTGTCTATCAAAAAGCATTTATCTTTATGAAATTCTCTACCCTGTTATGTCTTATAATGCCCTGTGTTCCTTCACCTTTCTGTTGCTGTTAGTAATCTGTGATCAGATTGGGAGGACTTCAAAGTGAGAACCAAAGCAATGAAAATCCATCTTTCCCAACATACTCTATTATGCCAGAGAGAGACTTCATCAGGGACTGTAGTGATAGGACAAGGGGTAATGGGTTCAAACTGAAGCAGGGGAAGTTCAGGTTAGATACAGGGAAGAAGCGCTTTACTGTGAAGGTGGTGAAGCACTGGAATGGGTTGCCCATGGAAGTTGTGAATGCTCAATCCCTGGCAGTGTTCAGAGCCAAGTTGGACAGAGCCTTGTGTGACATGGTTTAGTTTGAGGTGTCCCTGCCCATGTCAGTGGGGTTGGAACGAGATGATCTTAGGGTCCTTAACTGTTCTCCTTAGATCTCCTTAGAGATCTTAACTGTTCTATGATTCTATTATCAGCTTTCTTCTCTCTGTTTTTCTGTTCATCAGTTATCTTCCTAGTTCTGTAGAATAATCTTTTAGCCAGGCTGTGTTATTTCACACTGAGCAATCTTCTTTTCTGCAATTAGCCCTCTTTACTTAAAGCGATATGAGCATTTTGTTCAGATTTGTTTTAAAATATAGCTCTTGGCTACGTCTGTGTTCCTCTCACAGCTGATACTTGACAATCCGCTTCTACTGAATCACTTGATACTATATTCTTGTGTTTAATTCACTTATTTCATTTCATAGCCAAGGCCTCAACATATGTGATTGCCTGTCTTCGCCATATGACACAGGAGCATGTGCATCAGACATAGGGCTCACATTGCCACCTACTCCTGTCCCCACAAGGCCTCCTCACTTAGCAGCTCATGTGAATCAGCTCATCACTCATGGCCTCTTAAAATATAGCCTCTTCCATCAAATCAGGTCTTCTCTGATCTTCTCTCATCTTTCACAAGGTTTGTCCCCAATTACAGCTCTGCCATGCTAATAATCCTTGACTGCAGCACTCATTTGTAATAATCTCAAAATGATTTGTTTTGATTTATTTTAGTTTTTGCAACAGAACAGACTGAAGTGGATGCATTAACATGTTTATAATCTGAAAGAGCAGCAGTATCTTTTATGATGCTGTGGGGAAAATAGGAACAAAAAGGGATAGTCCACATTTTGTTACATTTTCCTGCTATGGCTCGGGGAATAAATAAGTCCTGTTTACACAAACCCAGAAAAAGTAATTGCAGCGTTAGTTAGATACTACAGTTGTACAGTTTGAAAATGGCATTTACCGTGGTTGGCATGGACTGCGGTGGGTATATGTTTCCCAGGGGGTTTTCATTTATAATTTGCACAACCTGATCCTTTTCCCCTTTTTCGTCTCTGTAGATTATCAATTCAGTGGTATTGCTGATTCTGCTGAGTGCCCTGACTGATCCTGACCAGTACCATCTAACCAGTGCTGAATTAGGGGGTGAATTTGAATTTATGGATGATGCCAGTAAGTACAAATTGCCTGAATACTAGCACTCATTGCTTCAGTTTTATGCAACTGTCCTATCATTTCAGTAGTTACTGTCCTTTAATTATTGCTTCACCTTGTTATCTTAAAGATATTTTCATTGTGAAAGGTGTATTCATGGCAGAGTTCAAACTCATTACCTACTAGTAACCTTGTCTGCTACCTATTAGTAATCCATGTGCTCCTGGCTTGGCAGAGGCCAGCCCTTGACATGGAGATGTTATCCCTGAGCATGATGCAAAAAGCCCCAGGGGGATTTTGCTAGACACAGCATGATATGGAGTCTCTGCACATCCCAGAACTGTGTCCTGTAGTGCCTGCACAGGCATAAGAACCCATAGCGCTTCTTATGTAACTGGCTAAATGTGTTCATTCATGTTGTACATATTTACACACCTCCCATGTACACATGGCAGACTTGCACAAGCCTGTTGTAATAGATGGAAGTACAAATATTAACTGTATGGTCATAAGCATATTAGAAATAACACAGGATGACTTCCTTCTCTCATCAAAGGCCATAATAGAAAATCTTCATTATAGTTTCAGGGCAGAGTGAAGTAGGCCATTTATGTCTCCTGAAAAAACTTCCTATCCATTGCAGATGTCTTTTTCTTCCATGACTGTTTCAGATTATTTGCTGATGTTTGGTCTGTTGATTTGCTTTAACCATTTAATTTGTATCTAGAAAAGTTCTCCTTCAATGTGATTTTGATATTTTCATTTCTGCTCTCAAGATTGTTACATTCAACATTTCTCACAGTAATCTGAAACAAGGTCTCCTGCTAATTACACTGGTGTCTTCCTGCTCAGAATCACACCCATCCACAGCAAAAGGCTCTAAGTCCTTCAGTAAGAATATCAGTAAGAAAAGGAATGGCCCCACACATGAGAAAAATAATTGCACCCATAGTGGGTCAGAGCTGCTGGGTATTAGTTAAGGAATGCTTATTTCCACAAGGTCTTTATTGCAGATATGCCTAATTCAATTTATTAGAGGGCAGTTGCTACTTTATTGTGTCTTCATTGAAAAACCACCTACAATTTCCAACTAAAAATCTTTTTATGTAACTGGATTTAAGAAAGTAAGGACCATAGCAGATACAGATGGGCTCCTAGCTGATTCTGACATATTAAAACTGACTGCCTTGTCCTAATTCTCAGAGATTAACCTTGGTAATGACTGTCTGTCAGTGTGGTTTTATATAGCCGACATCAGAGGCCTGCCAGTGCCCAAGGCTTTAAAATTGTAATTCTGTTTTGTAATGCAATAGCTGTCAGATCAAGTACGTTGGGGATTTCCAGCTACACTTGAAAATTTTATTTTCTATATTATTTTTTATCGAGGCTTCTGAAGTGAACCCTGCACGACTGTAAAAGGATGGCTTGTGGGCCAAGTGACCTCATTTCTATTTGGTAAAGAGAACATTCCACAGGCGGTTAAATTACGAATGAACATTTGAATTAATGTCTCCTTTTATTTTTTGACTCCCCCTGGTTTAATGCCTTACTGAGTAAAAGCAGCTGCATCAAGCAACTGGCTTTTATAGTTACTGGAAATAGCTGGCAGGAGATAATTTTGTTCTTTTTCAAGTATAACTGTATTTGTTCAAATCTGCAGAAATGCTTTCTGATAAAAAACGGACAAACTTCCACTGTCCTACTTTTGTCTTTTTTCCAAGAGTTTCCCAGGTTAGCTGCATGTGCTGAAATTCTTAGATATGAAACCATGTGTATGAAATACAGGAACATGCATCTATTTTTATGATAATGAAGGTCCCAAAGTTGTTATCTATAGGTACTTGTGTTGACAAAAAATAATGATGGAAATATTAGTAACCATTATTACTAATTTTGATGCTCCTATCAATAGCAAGCAAAAAAATAATTACAATTGCCTGTGAAATTGTCTCTCCCTTTCCCTCCCTCCTGCTTCATAACAGAGCTGAAAATATGATCTGGAAATAAACTTATCAGCTGAGTCACAGTAGTGGAATTACAGCTAACTTGAAGTTTATGACAGATTTCTCTTGACTTCCAAGAAGCCAGGATTCCCCCAGTTTTTGTATTCATATTTATTTCTGGCTGTTCTCAGGCATGGTTTATGGAGAACAGTCAATTTTCTGTTTCAGCAGTGGCAAAAACTCCTGCCATGCATAGAGCCAGAGCCAGTGTAGTGTAAACTGCTTGAAAATGCCAGTGCAGCATCAGTTCTGCTAATGGCTGCTCAGCCTAAATTTCAGGATTTAGCGTGGTTCCCAGTATGTTGCCAGAGGCTCCAAAATGCCTGTTTGAATAAGGAGAGAAGGAATTTACCTCAGCACTTAAAAAGGCCTGTAGGTTATAGCTTTTCCCCTCTACTTTAGAAAAGGCAACAAGATGGGAGGGAGAAGTCTGCCAAGACCTGCCATGCGGCAGATGGAGGTACTGGAAGACACCAGTGTGTGTGGTTTGGCTGGCTCTCTGAGATGTACATCTAGGAGCCAGGGAAAATGCTGGGTTTCCTCCTGTGCTGCATACTCAACTAAGCCCATTTAGTCTCATCTTTCTTTTTATTATTTCCTTAGGGCCTGAGGGAGTTTATGAACTAGAAGCTGGACTAGGAAGAAACAGAAATGTCTGAGCTGCCCAGTGTAATACTGCTGCTGTTAAAAGACTAGTAATCTCTGGTCAGGAGATGGAAGAGCCCTATAAATTGTTTCAACTCCTCAGAGGGTTTCACCTGAACCTCCTGCTCAGCTTCTCTGGATTCTGACATGCCAACAGCCCAAACAAGCAGTGAATGTTGCTTAGTTATACTTACTGCCGTCACAGTTTCACACATGTGTGTGATACTTCATAAGCCATATGAAAAGGACTGAAATCCAATGTGTGCCCTATCCTATGTGTGCCCTATAGAAACTGAGGGGAACTTTGACACTGATGTCAGCAGCTGAGGCCAAAATCCACCTGTGTCCCTGCCCAGGCAGATGAGACAAGCAGAGGTTGCAGGGCAAGGTAATGTGATGGTCTCTCTGCTGAATGTGACATGCATCCAGGGCTTAAAAAGATTAATCAAAGCAGATAAATTTAATAAGGAACCTACAAACAGGAGGCCTGGACTTGTGTTGGGGGTTAAATGGAAGTGGTAGAGGAGGTACCCTTCCTGCCCCAATCCATCGCCACTACCCAGGTAGCATGAGCCCTATGTCACACACACAGGGAGGGGGAAAAAACTAATTCCATGCTCCAGTATAACATGTTCAGGGCTGCATCTTCCTCTCTAGCTGTATCCCCTGGAGTAAACAAGCTGGGTTCAAAGGTGCAGCAAACCCTTTCCTTCTCATTGGCCTCCTTCCTTTGCTGGAGAGAAAATGCCACCGCCACACAGGTTGTGACCCAGGAGGCTGCAGGGTGGCTGGCAGCAGCAGGACTGAGCTTGCACAAGCAGTCTGGAGGAGAATGAGGCAGTATTCCTTAGCTGGCAGTAAGGAGGCCAGGCTGCTGGATAAATAAGGCTAGGAAGGTGGGCAAGACTGCCTGAGGATTGTAGGCTGGTGATCAGCAGCTTTCTAGCCCCTGCTGTTGGAGCTGTGAGCCAGTGATTAATTCCAGGGCTAGGGCAGTTGACGAGCTGGAGGATTCGAGGTCTCCATCACTCCACACAGGTCCTGGCTCAGGGACTGGCCTCGCTGGCTGCTCCTCTCTGTCCCCACAGCACCCACCACCAGCCTTCTCTAGACAAGGAAAGGGTAAGGCAAGGAAATGCTTGTGAGATGGGTTTGAGGGAGCTCCAGTTGCAGAGCTTGCTGTGCACAAAAGCACCCCATGGCAGCAGCTCTGCCCAGCCCCAGTGTGGTAGGAAGGATCTCACTGCAAGGTATAAAAGGAAAAAAAACCACCCCAAATGTTTTCTTTAAATCCAAGCAGAAAACTCAAAAACTGTCTAGGACAAGAGGCTGTATAACCATTGCAGTGGTCCAAGTACAGCCCTTATAGCCGTAAGTGCAACACACAGTACAGCATGGCTAGAAAAGAAATCACACACCTCTGTTAGCTTCTCAATTAATGTGCTATGTATCTAGTTTTGTTCTGATTAACTGAAGCTGACACAAATCAAAAACCCAATGAAGCCTTAAATGAGAAAGAACCAGCTTAAGCCAACTAGGACTTGGCACAGCAGAGCACAGCTAGAGGGACAGTGGGGATGGAGAATATGAATATGTCAGACCAGAGCCTCAATGTCAAGTTTACTGCAGTTTGCTAGGTGCTGGCTCTGAAGCAGTACTGCTGTGGTCACAAGTAGGGTGAGGTCTGTGACTGCTGCATCTGCTGCAAATGACAATGACAGCAGCTTGGGTACAGTGAGTAGGTGGCTGGGATTAAGAAGGGACAGAATAAATACATGAGCAGTGCCTTCAAACTGGTGGTTAGAATGAAAATATTGACCCAAAGAGCCTCTTTTACAGGTGGTTCAGTTGAGGTTGGTGGCTACAAGCAGCTATTTCCACTTCTCTCCTTTTTTTTCGTTACCGCAATTGTACTTGATCTATTCAAAATCGTTTTGATTTCGCAGGATGTATGTGGGTAACCAGAGTAAAAGACCACACAGTTATGTGAAGAGGCTTCAGTACTTTTAATTGATACAGGTTTCTTTTCTGGGTGCTTCTTCCTCTTGAGGGCAGAATTTAGATCACCTCTAACAAGCACAGCACATCCTTACAGCTCCTAAAAAGATGGAGACTTGTTATGGCAATGCAGTTCAGATGCCTGTGCTGGATTGTCTAGGTTCTCTACACAGTCAAAGAGAAGAAGGAAGTGTCATTGAAGAGCAATTTGGCATGTAGAGCATTTTGGGATACACTGAGATGTTATCCCCTCCTGAATTACGAGCAGGGAGCCCAGCTGCCTCTTAATGGCCTTTCCAAGCACCCACAAGCCAAGCTGCATAAAGCCACCAGGTAGGAAACTGGGTGCAGGGGTGTAGCTAACCTCAGCACTGAGTGCTGATGCCTCTCCTGGGTGAGACCTGCTACTTTTGACCATAAGACAAACATTCAAGCAAATAAGGTCATCTGGACTTCAGGCCCTCATCAGACTACAGTGATTTAAATGTGCTCCTCCAGGAGCCCAAGAAAGGGGCCCCATCCATTAAATTAGGAAGTAGCGCACAATAGGGCTTCTTCTGTTTCATTTGAGTCCCTATACAAGGACAAAATCTAAGGGCAAGAGAGAGAGAGCAAGAGGCCTGAAACCCAGACACAGGAAGTGTCTTGGAAAAGAGGAGACCTAGGTACCTAGTTTCTTGATCCTGCTATTGGTAGGCATGGTTCACAAGGAGCCTGTAGCCTAACATACATAAGCATGTTATGCTGGATGATGCCCTTGCCAGCCAACAACAGTCTCCTCTTGCTCATTTTTCTGCCAGCTTCACAAGTCTCAGGATCCTCCCTTCATCAAGGGCCAGCAGAAATCTGGTTTAGTGCTGGTAGAAGCTGTAAGACAGAGCAAGGTTTGTGTAACCTCAGGCAGAGAGGGATCAAAGTCTAGCTCCTTTACTTTTCTACATGCATGATTGTACTGGTAGGCTGGAAAAAATGACAGACAGGACTTAGGGTCTAACCCTCCTCTTCAGCCATAAGCTGATGAACCTGCACTGCTGCCTGTTAGTGGTAGGTCCACAGCTGCCAGATCTGGACATTCGATGGAACTTTGATGAAGGTTTCAGGGCACCTGCTCAGAACCTCATTTTGATGTAGCCAGAGAGGTGGAAGGACTGTCCCATGCTGTGGGATGCTCCTCATCATGTGCTGGATTGGATGTTGTGTCAACTCTGTGATCAAATGGAGGTATCTTCACACTTTGAATGCCTCCAAAGTCAGGCAGTGATGGGTAGTGAACAGCCTGAACATTGTCATTTATTTGTGCGTCTCAAATCCACCACAGGTCTCACAAGGCAGGTAGTTTAAACGCACCTGGTGGCAACAGTGTGAACAGCATGTTCCTCACAGGTACCAGGAGAGGTGGGATCTCCAAAGTGATGTCCTCTATACCTCAAATCCTCTCTCCTCTTTGTGCACTGGTTTAGCCTCAGAAAAGTAGTTGCAATGTTCAGTTGCGTTCTTAAGCTCACTATAAGGTTGGACTCAGAAATATACTTTCAGTATTCTGGCTACAGCCTGTAATAATGATATCAATGATATATGAAAAGATAAAACATACATAATTTTTTCCCGCAGCATCTCCTTCCAGCAGTTTGTGGCTTAGGAACTTCCTGTATCTAATGAAAAGTTCAGTGAAAGCTGAGCAGCAATAGAAGAAAAAAATAGAGTCCTGTAATTACTCCAGCCAAAACCTTAAAGAATCTTTTCCTTCCTCTACTACTTCACCTTTCCTGACAGTTACACATCTTCATTAATAAACTGTATATCTCTGTAGTATTCTTGGTTGAAATAGAAATTTCCAAGATGTTACTTCTGCTCTACCTCTGCCTCTACCTTTTCCAGAGTTCTTAGAAATATGCAAGCAAAGATACACAGCAGCTACTAGTGCAAAACCAATCTGTAGCATGGGAAAGCGGACACTTTCTGACTACAGATGTTGTCATCACCAGCAAAATAATTTTCTTGTCAAGACTGCTGCTGATTTTTTTTTAAAATCTTCAGAAAAAACAAACCATTCATGGCATCTCCACAACCTCAGAGAGGCTGCAGAGTCTTGCACAGTGTAATCACTGTCTGTGCTTCTCATAAGAGCCACAGATTTCCTCCAGCAATGGCTTAATATGCACCTGATTCCCATCTCCACCCGCTTTCAACCCTGCTCTTTGAGATGCTCTGCATCAGGTAGAGGGCAAAATAACTGAACCAAGCTCTGAATTTATCTGCAATCATTTTGATGTGTTTCTCTTCCAGATATGTGCATTGCCACAGCAATTTCTCTTCTTATGATTATGATCTGTGCAATGGCTACATATGGCGCATATAAGGTAATTCATTATATTTGATGAAGACCTGAATCAAGTGAAATGTAAAACCCTGTATAAACAAAATTAAGAAAATTGCTTTCTAATGATGTCTTGCTTAGTTGTTTAGCTCAAAACTGAGAGGGGAAAAAAAAGTCAAAGAGGCAGCAGAACTGATTGATTAGATTGATGGTATCCCAGGGCCCTCTGCTGCAGGCAGGAAGAGTGCCCAGTTGTGTTGAGTGGCTGCAGTTTCAAATATCAGTAAGCTCTGGGCAAACTGGGAATTCAGAGAACTGAATCTTGTACCTACCAAAGTTGAGGGATGATTTTTCCCATTCACCTGCCAAGCCTGTGCTTTGTCTCAGTATTATTCCTATTGATTAGGGGAGAAAAGTATCATGTGGTTTCTAAATATCCTAGTATAATGAGTTGTGGGCTTACACCACACATATTACTGCAGTTCAGCAGCCAAACTGGCTTGGCCAACCTTTTTGGCTGAATACCCTATTTCTTTTAGCTGATCTAACATTGCATTGTGTCAAATATTCCTTACAGTTTAGTGCAGAAAGACATAATATCCTTCTATTTTAACTTGTGACTGTTTTTATTTCCTTTTTAGCAACACGCAGCTTGGATCATCCCTTTCTTCTGTTACCAGATCTTCGACTTTGCTCTCAACACGTTGGTTGCCATCAGTGTACTCGTCTATCCCAGCACAATTCAGGACTACCTCCGCCAGCTGGTAAATCACTCGATGTTCACAAGCCTTTAAGGTGGGGGGAAGGGGGGAGAAATGTGCAACGTGCACTGTTTGTCCTCTATTTCTAGCCCACAATTTGCTGTTGACTTACTATGCAGTCCTTGAAAGTCCTCTCAGCCCTTGCTGTTGTGTGTTCAAGAGCCCTTGCAAGGTTACATTACTAGCTTATTACAATATTTGTGCAGACCTCTGGAGTTCTGCAATATCATGGAAGCTCTCAACACCACTTCATTTAGAATGAGACTCATATTGCAAGATATAGATAATAAATAATTGCTTTTGGATTTAGAGTTATTGTGTTCCTATACATAGCTTATTTTTGGTACTATTTCAAGGATGTTTTCTTGCTCCTTTTAATTCATTTTGTGGCTTTAATGCAGATTTCATTAGGCAGGAGTTCAATTCAATGTAGGTTTGGTTTTGCTAAAAAATATGTTTGGATCCTGTCTTAGGGACAACCAGAGGCTCCCTTATTGCTGCTTTGGCCAAACATCCATAGCCATTGTGTAGACTTACAGGGTATGATTATAATCACCTAAAGTAAAGACAAGAGCCCGTGACCCCCTCTCTCATCACGGGATTACATGCCATGTCCAGCAGGGTTCAGGTGGAGCAGGAGATCTCTTGAGAAACCAACACTGCAGCTGTCTCTGAAAATCTGCCTTGAAAACCTGAATATAGATTATCTTGGCTGTGAACTTTGTTATGTGGGTGGAAAAATAGGGCAGTATAAAAGGTGTTCCACAGGTGTTCCCCAGGGCTCAGTACTGGGGCCAGTTCTATTAATATCTTTATCGATGATCTGGACAAGGAGATTGGTTGCATGCTCAGTAAGTTTGCAGCTGACACAAAGCCGCGTGGGAGTGGGCTTGAGGGTAGGAATGCTCTGCAGAGGTGTCTGGACAGGCTGCATGGATGGGCTGTGGCCAATTGTATGAGGTTCAACAAGGCAAAGTGTTGGGTCCTGCACTTGGGCCACAACAACCCCATGCGATGCTACAGGCTTGGGGAAGAGTGGCTGGAAAGCTGCTCAGTGGAAAAGTACCTGGGGGTGCTGATTGACAGAGCTGAACATAAGCCATCAGTGTGCCCAGGTGGCCAAGAAGGCCAAAGGCATCCTGGCCTGTTATCAGCAATAGTGTGGCAGCAGGGCCAGGGAAGTGATTGTCAGCCTGTACTTGGCACTGGTGAGGCTGCATCTGGGCTCCTCACTGCAAGAGACATTGAGGTGCTGGAGTGAGTCCAGAGAAGGGCAACAAGAGCTGGTGGTGGGTCAAGAGCACAAGTGTTATGAGGAATGGCTGAGGGAACTGGGGTTGTTTAGCCTGAGAAAAGGAGGCCCAGGAGGGACCTTATTGCTCTCTACAACTGCCTGAAAGGAGCTTGTAGTGAGGTGAGTGTTGGTCTCTTTTCCCAAGTAACAAGTGACAGGAAAAGCGGAAATGGCATCAAGTTGTGCCGTGGGAGGTTTAGGTTTGGTACTGGGAAAAATTTCTTCACTGGAAGGGTTTTCAAACACTGGAACAGGCTGCACAAGGAAGTGGTGGAGTCACCATCCCTGGAGGTATTTAAAAGACGCGTAGATGTGGCACACACTTAGGAACATGGTTTAGTGGTGGACTTGGCAGTACTAGGTTAGCGGTTGGATTCAATGATCTTAAAGGTCTTTCCAGCCTAAATAGTTCTGTGATTCTATGAATAATAGATAATAAGAAACAGCAAGCAGATAAGTAGCCACACAGATCTGCTAGAAGAGGCAATGTGTCAAGCCACAGGGAGCTGGGATGTGTCAGAAGCCTGTTATGCTTCACCAACACTCACCTGCATTCACAGCTGCTGGTACACTGGAAGAGCAGCAGAGGAATAATTCAAAAGGTTCTCAGAGATATGAGTGGAAAAGAGCAAATTATGGCATCTTGTCAAGTGCTTGAAGCTGGCACTGCCACTGGCTGGAGCCCTTCAGCCCATCATTTACCTGCAGTTCCTTTCTTCTGCATCAGTGCCAGCCCTGCTCCTGTGGCAGCACAAGCATCTGTTTGGCTGCAGGAATTCTCCCCTCTTCAGAGCAGGAGTTGTAACCAGGTTTTACTCAGTTGTGGTCACTGTGGGAGAGCATGAGGGGTGCAGGAGCAGGCTGGGAGCTACACACCAAAAAGCCCCTGCTCTTCTGCTGAAAACCTAGTGCTACATCTAAAGCTGGCTTACTAGAAGGGCAAAAAGCAGCTGATTCGCCTGCTAAACATCACTGTTGTTCCTGCAGATAGAAGAAATAATAGGCCCTTCTGTAGCAGGCTTGGAAGGTATTTGGAACAGTTCAGCAGAGCGCAGCGTGAGCCACGTTGCAGCTCTGGAGCATTAAAATCTCTGGTTGCACAGATCTCTTGCTGTTGTAAATCATTTTCTGGACTGGTAATGAAGTGCCGCAAGACTTCAGGAGCGCTAAACTGTCAGTGCTCAAAAGGGCAAGGGGGATTTCCAGGATAATTATAGGCTGATTGGCCTGACATTGCTACCAAGCAGAATAGTAAACAGGAGGGCTGAGAGGAAAGTCAATTGGTAGAGGATTAGACTGGAGGAATATGATTAATGGTTGCCAACATGGTTTCACGGAAAATCAGTCCTGCAGGCAAACTCATTTTCTTTCACTGACAGGATTACTGTCTTTGTCAATAAAGATGGGCAGGGGCATAATAGACTTCCATAAGACATTTGACATTGCAGCATGATGTTCAAAGCAACAATAAAACACTAGATCGATAAAGGATGTATCAGATGGATTAGGAAAGTTTAGCTGGCAGACTGCAATGGGTTATGGTCAAGCTGACCATCTGCCAAAGAGTTTCTGTTTTGGGTAGAGGAAGGTCTCCAGGAATCAGCAGTAGATTTCATGCTCTTCCTGACTTCCATTAATAAAGTTGATACCAAACAGGCAGTTCACAAAGGCTAACATCAGCCTTGGGAGAGCTTCCCCAGGCTCATTGTCTAGAGCAATCGAATTCTCTAGCTGGAGATTGCAAGCAGGAGCCTAATCTAATTGTTCTGTGTCATCCTCTGAAAGACCCTATCCCTGCATTGCCCAAAGTGAGCACATTGGCATTTCACAGTGACTTTTCCCAGCAAAATCACTACTAATATTACCCATGGCTGACACAGAGATTAATGACAAAGTAAGTAAGAGTATGGGCAGAGCCATTAATCAGTGAGTAAGAGTGACTGAGAGCCCGAGTTCAGTCACTAATGGGTGCTACACTGCTAAAAGCAAAGAAATGTGAAAACACGAGGAATACAGATGAGCATGCTATGGCAACTGTACCTGGGATGCAGTGACCCTGTAAGTAGTCTAGGGAACTAAGTGTCAAAACAAGAGTACCCAGGTTTTTTCTTTTTTGCTGTTTCCAGAAACCATTCATAGTATTTGTGGACAGATAAAAACCAGCAATTAATAGTAGTAGAGAGGAGACTTCCTTTCTCACTTGGTGACATAGGTTTCATCTGTCTGTTTATGGTGTCTGTTTGCAAAACAATGCTTAAAAGTTAGCGAACATTTAGAAAAGTTCCTCCAAAAACTTTATAAAATCTGGATACATTGAAGTATGATGAGAGACAGTCAGCTTTTCCTGCTTCCTTTACTGAGAAAGGTGACCAAGAGGTGGTGCCATTAGAGTTTTCATATGCAGAATAATGAGGCATTAAAAGGCTATTTAAATTAGATGTGAGGCACAGTGAGTAGCTAAAACCTAGTCCAAATTAAGTTCATTTAGAAACAAGAAGTTGTTTCTATTTTACCATTCACAGTGGAGATTAGTGATTGGCAAAAACTAACAAGAGCTGTAATGAATTTTGTACAGTTAATGTCACCTGTTAACAAAGTTTTGAAGCTGTTCTGCAGCTGCTTTGAAGCTGTTTATGCCTCCTGTGTCTTAGCTGTGGTCCCAAGCACAAGCAGCTCAGCAGGAACCCCTCCTAGTCTTACCTGGAAGGGCCACATCAGTTGGCAGAAGGTTGTTGTGTTTGGTTCAGAACAAATACACTGTGTCTGAGGGGGAAAAGCAAAAGGGAGAGAAGATCAAATCCACCAGTATCAGATACTCACACACACAATGAGATGAAGCTAAAACCAGGCTTTTCAAACTTTTAGCAGTAATGCTGTCATTGTAGTCCTAGCACTCAAACATTGTTAAATGAACAGGCTTGTACCCATGGACTTGTTTCCCTACCTTTTAATAATGCTTATGGTAGATAAGTTTGGCATCTGAAACACCATGTTTAGAACAAGATTGCAGTCAATACCTTTGTACCCATAGGTGAGACCTGAGTCATGCCAGCTGGGTGTGATCCCTCCTGCTGATTTATAAATAAGCCCTAGAGTCAGCTTGGCCTCACCCCCTTTGCAGAGGTCTGCCAAGGCAGGCAGAAAACAAGGGTTATATTTCTTCCTGGCATTCATATAGTTTTTGTTCCTCTAAAACTGCTTTGAATTTGGTGCATGGTATTTTAGGGAGCACAGCTCCATAAGGGAAATGAAAAATCCTGACAGTTTTTCAAATCCATTATTGAATACCTGGAAGAAGGTATGCATTATGTGATGGAATATATTTGGCAGTCTTAGAAGAACATTTCTTTCTTGCTCAAAGGTGAAAACCCCATGTCTTTAACAGTTTCTACTTCCCTATGTTAGTGTTTGGGATTATGTTATCTATTCACTTTGGTGCACATCTCCTAGATTTCAGTCTATCAGTGATGAGTTACAAGCTGCTTTCAAACCCTCCATATACTTTTAGCAAGATGATAAATAAGTACCTATCAGTAGGTGAGGCAGAGCCCTAGCTGCAAATGTTGCAATTGTAAAATACAGAACATTGTGTTCACAGGGTATGTGGTAATGTCAGCCTATACTGGCTGCTGATTTCAGAGGCACAACTGTCTTTGGAAACTTTTTGTTGCCTTTTAATATCCAATTGAACACAGGTGTGCCACCTAATTCCCATAAATTGCAAAAGCATCTCAGCATGAAGACTCATGTAAAATAAGTAGATGTTATAAACTTACAAATCTCACGTTTGAAATGTGTGGCGATGATGTGGTGAAACTTTCTGAGGGTTATGTTGGACATCTTGGTCATTATCACTGTCACTAGAAAAACAAAAACTTTCACACATGGTAAATCCAGATTGTGTAAATCAAAAATGATTTTGCTTCCTGCAGCAGTAATGATCTAAAGCAGTTTGACTTAAAGCACATTTCTTTAGCAACACAAAATCTTTGATATATGGGCTTTCTAAAGCCTCTAAATTAAACACTTCACCTTCTGTCAACTGATAACAGTATTTGAAATGAATTGAAGCAGAGGTGCAGAACAGGTGAATCTGCAACCGAGTAATGCAAACTTGGTTTTTATTACAGTACAGGCCTATGACAGTTCATCTAAAGAAAATTTTAGAGTATATTAAATAGCTTTTCTACGGGACTACCTCCAGTGTTAGTGTTTAACAATTCAGGTGGTTTCAGTCATGCTTTTAAATCCTAGGGGAAATATCTAGAGAATGTGAAAGACATTAAACCTAAAGAAATGTTTCCTATAAAAGCTTAAATAAGGAATATCCTTTCTGACATTCTTAATACCATTTTATAATTCCAAAGAAGTCCTACTAACTTCTAGCAGAGCTTTAAAAGTTCTGCAGACACATTACCATTTTCTTTAGGGTTTGTAAGATGCAAATACTCAGAGGATTGTAACTGCTGAATGAGAATCTGTACCATCTTTTTAAATGGATTTTTGTGGTCCAAGGGAAGAAAAGCATTATGCAAGCAGGCTGAGGGAATGACAAAGTGCTTCAGCCTTGAACTTTCCTTCTTGTGCATTTCTACAATATTGATGCAGTAGAAATATGATTTCCATGCAAGTTTTAGATTCTTTTTAGGTCCCTAATAGAGCTTTTCTATGTATAATTTTTTTAATGGAAAGTTTACCGGTATATTATGCATGCTGGCCTCTTCATGTCCATGACAAGGTTATAAATGATGCTTTAATTATGAAATTAGCATGCCAGTGCCACACTACTACAACAACATCTTGTTTGTATGGGAAATTTCATCATGTCCTGCTGCAAAATCACTCCTATATTTCCAGTGAAGGGCTTGATTTTTCCTTCCCAGCTGTATTTCAGTCTTAGTTCCATCAGACCTTGCACAGGATTTGACACTGAGCTTTTCCCAGACGTCGCAGCACTGAGCCAGTGTCCAGGGCCTTCCAAGCAGCAGGATTTCAACTACTGGTCTCCCAACAAAAGAGCAAACCCTGAGCACACAGGCAGAATTTTTCTTCCCACCTCATACACCTACATCAGTGTTTAAGCTTATCACTGGAGTCAGCAGAATTCAATGGGTCTATGTTTCATCGGAACCACTGTTGGTACCCATTTCCCATGAGAGTCACTGTTATGTTCGGAGCAGTTGCTGCTGTGGGAGGATCCCAAGGGTGAGCCTGGAGCCAGCCAAGATGCTTCCCACCATCTTTCCTGCTTCGCAAAAGCCATGGATTTATAAATTACTTTTCCTACTGCACTGAAGGGATCTGTGGTTGTGAGTCAAGATCAGACTGCTCATAGGCCAGCCTGGGCAAGCCAGTGTTAGGCATCTTCTGGCTGGCAGGTGCCACCAGCTGGGTTAGCAAACAAAGGGACTTTCGTCCATGTTGACCTGATGCCCTTGGGCTATTCACTGATGCTGTGAAAGCTCGGTCTCCCACACAGCAATCCAGGAAGCTCCAGGAGGGACTGCTTCAGTTTTCCAGCCTGGACGCAGAACTCCCGGGCACCTGTGGTGGGGGTGACTGCTGCATGGCTGCAGCACCCGCCGCCTTGCTGGGGCTTGCTTAAACTTTGCGTCACTTCAGGACAGAGACGCAGAGAGCAGAGCCTGAAGGGGACAAACCGCAGCATTTGTTCCTCATGTGCTCTCCTGGCTTGTGATTCTGGTGCTAAATTATTGTGCTTTCACCTGGAGCACTGCTGCTGTAAGGAAGGGCCAGGCGCTGCTCTACAGCACATGGTGCTCCTGGCTTACAGCTCATGGCTCCAGCATATGTTCCTTCTCTTCAAGGTAGCAGGAACTTTCTTGGTCATTTTCCTGCCCTCCTCTCGGCCCCATGCAAATTCCAGTTGAGCTGACATCTGGAAACAGGCCTTTAGCTTATGGCCAAGGCCCCAGCATACAGTCATCCAGTGTTTGACTGATGACTGGTTCTCAGAAACCAGTGTGTAGGAGGACCACAGCCTCACTAGGAGTTTTTATTACGTTCACAAAATAGCTTGACTAGTTTTTTAATGGTCAGTCAGTATAAAATAATCATGTTGGAGAAGTTTCATTGTAACTGTCCTTAACTGACTAAACTTTCTAACCGTGTGCATGGCCTCCCTCCTGCAAGCAGGAGGGCAAGCTGTGGCATTAATACTTACATTTTCTGCATATAAGGTTTGTGTTTATTTTTCAGTTCATCTTTTCTTGGCATATACTCTTGCTTTCTTCAACTCTGGGTGACCGCATCCGCTATATTTAGCTATAACCCTCTGTCAAAAAAAAAAAAAAAATTAAAAAAAGAAGATCAACTTACTGAATTATACCAAGCTAATGTCTTACAAAAGCTGTAGCTCAACAAAAGATAACATGATAAAAACTCCAGCCATGAAATTCAGTACAGGAACAGAAACATTGCTGTCAAGAAGCGGAAAATGTGCTTATGTAACATTATCTGCAAACGGTTACAGCTGCTGTTGATGTTAACCACTCTGAACAGGTCATGGACACGCTAAATAAAGAGCCATTCTCACTAACAGCTGTCCACAAAAAAGAGATGATTTCCTGATTCACTGGGCTGAGTGCTGGTAGAAGGGGTATTAAGGGGTTACTCTGTATTTACATCATCATTGCCAAGAATACAGTTATAGCTTGGTCTAGTTAATTGTCCTGACAAGGATGCAGAGCTGGCCTGGTTAAGTAATTAGACCTGTAAGGGAAACGGGAGTTGTGTGTGGAAGGAGCTAATGCATTCAGTTATAATGAGCTACTGTTGCAGCAAAGCTATCTTTTGTGAACAATAGTTTATTGTAACCGAAACAGGAACTTGTGCCTTGCAATATTTCAAAGCAATTTGGAACATGCGTTTTAGAGGTTGTGTTTTCTTGAAGTAATAACAAGAACTACAAGACAGTAAAACATCTTCAGAGGCAGTTTTTCAGCCAGTGATCTTAAAGCATTTCACAATTGTAAATCACTAGAGCCTACGCTAGGTGGGAAGATTAGTTTTGTTACCTCCATTTCATGTATGAGATAAGAGAAGGAGCTGGGGCACATTTCAGTTTGAAATCATGTCATTGCTCCACTGCAGGACCCATGCCTACTTGGGGCACGCACTCAGACAGCAGCACTAACAAGTGTCCTGGAGAAGTAGTCCAAATTTAGCCAAAACAAGATGGAGCAGAATAGACCAAATGCCTTTTGATCAAATATTTAGGTGAAAGGATTGCAGTGTCCAGCTTTTCCTGCTTTGATTTTCTGGAAGGAACTACCAGATTGGCAACCAGTGCCAGTATAATGATTACTTAATAAGTACAGGACTTGCCTGCCATTGCCCATGATGGCAGGTTTTCTGCTGCAAAGCTCCCCAAGAGATGTCCTTTGCTGATTTGTGTCCGATACAAACCCAGTCTGCAGAGAGGAGAGGACAGCCCATGCCACATACAAAGCAAAAAGTAAATCTTCAGCCCTTCAGGAAACATTTGGCAGCTGAGCCTTCCCAGTGTGTCCCAGCCAAACTCACTGAAACTTTTTTGGTGTGACAAGCTCCTTATTTAGTAGATCACAGAAAGTTTTGTAAGCTGTTAATTATAGAGTGCACTAATTGAATGGCTCCTGAATGACTTGTGAGATGAACTTACAGTGGTTTGCTTCTTTTTGCTTATGCAGCCCACCAATTTTCCCTACAAGGAAGAGATTATGTCTGTGAACCCTACGTGTCTGGTTGTGATTATCCTCCTGTTCATAAGTATCATTTTGGCTTTTAAGGTAAGTACATTACTGTGTCTAATGTCTACTCCTGGTCCTGGATGGAATGTCCCTTGCTTGGGGGGCCTGGCTTTAGAGAGATCTGTGGAACTGCAGACCAGGCAGCCTGACAGCTCTACAAATCATTATGGGAAAAAGGCAGAAAATCTCATAGACAAACACATGAACATATAGGCCTCAGTGGGGAAACATGATGCTGTAGGGGCAACACATAATATAAATCCTTTGAAGGAGCAGGTTGTTCAGTGGGCAAGGGAGAGCCTGTTGATACAGACTTCTTGTTTTTTCAAAAGGTCTGTGGCAGAGTCTGTCATCAAAGGCTTTAAATACCACCCTCAGATGTGTAGGGACAAGAGGAAAGGTCATCTCACAGACCATAGCTAGGAAATAGAGAATAAGGATAAATCACTGTTTTTCACAATAGCGAGACTCATGATCATGAAAGATATGGGAAGGGGAAGGAAATCTACAGCAACACTTTTTTGCAATGTCATTCAAAACAGAGAAAACAGCCAAGAAAGCTTTGCAGAAAGAGCTCATGGCACTGAGTGACTGGGCAGTGAAGTGGCAGAGAAGCTCAGTGGTGACAAATTCCAAGTGGTGGGCACAGAGGAAGCACAGTCTTGTTTTGCAGACACTGCAGTAGACTCTGAACTGCATGACCACCTGGAAAAGGGATCTCATAGCTGTAATAGCTAGACCTGTGAAAATACTAGCTTACTGCTCAGTTCTGATCAACCAAGTGAATAAAATGCTAAGAATATTAAGAAAGGAATAGAAAAAAACAGAAATCTAAAGATTTCTTTGCCAGTTGTGATGCCTACCACCTCTGGAAGTATGCGTTTACTTCTGGTGCCTTATCACAAAAAGGATGTTGTAGAGCAGGTAAATAGATCCAAACAATCCCTCCTGGGCAGGACAATGTAAAGGACTGTCACACCAGGCAGCAAAAGGACACAGGGAGTGATGATTTAGTTGCTGTTATGTAAACCTCACGGGTGAGGCTCTAGCTGTGGTAGATACCAGATAAAGGGGAGATGTAGCATCACCCAGCACAGCTGGAAAGGCCTCATGTGAAACCACTGCACCCACGTTTCTGGTCCAGCAAGGTCCATCCCCACCTGCTGTGCAGGGCAGAAGTCCAAAAGGAGCTCAGAGTAAGATCACACAAATCATCATATGAAAAACAACTACCTGTTGCTCAACAAGTCCCTGAGCCTTGGACCTCCTGCAAAGTACGCTGGTATGTTTGCCCTCTTCTTGCACCCTCCTGCAAGTTTCTCACAGCGCAGTGCTGCCGCTCTTGTATTTCTTGTGTTGGGTTTTATTTCAGAATAGTTCTTGCTCTGTCTCTGCAGAGCAATTACGCGTTAGACTAGAGAAGTCCCAGAGAGCCACAGAGACACCAGGGATGTTGCTTCCAGACAACACATTTGACAACATGAACAGGGAAAGTTACTGTGACAAAAGAGGTAGATTAGATTATTGAAGATACTTCAAAATTGAAGGAAAAGAACCCAAAACCAACAAACAGGGTATTTTAAGGTACTGTTGGAAGTGATGTTCACTTTTTTCCTGTCATTTAGAAATATAATTTAGCCTTCTGACTTTATGTGTTCACAGCCATATAGCTGATTTTTTTGCACCTTTAAGAAATATGAATGAATGTGATAAACACGTAGGTGTGTCAGGTGCCACAAGGGATGTGCTCTTAAATTTCTCAGATGCAAGCATTAGCTCATTTTTACTCCAGGCTGGGCTGGTATTTTGTTGACCTAAGTATGGCAGGGAAGTCCTAACCTTATAAAGAAAAAGTGGAACTAAAACTGGCATGGCAAAAATACTTACTACAGAAGAAAGAAACCTAAGAAATTAATAGCAAAAAAGACTAGTTTTGTTTTAAAGTGGTGAACACATGTTTTATGTTTTTTCCAAGAGTATATGTGGTTCATATAATGCTCATTCTAGTAACATATTATCATGCAAATGAATCACAAAAAATATGACTCATGCAGACACACATGCTAAATTATACTTAGCATTTTCATTTGAATTTCTTGTGTTCCCAGAAGAGCTGCTATGCAGATTTATGTAGTCTGCTCCATGAAAAGAAAGCTGGACACTATGAGATGCATCACACTTTATCACTGATAGACTTAACAGATGGTACCACATTTATGCATTGAAACTGAAAAGGTACTGTGAGTAAAAATATGCTTGAGCTCCCTCTCCCTCTGGAGTTCAACTAGAAATAAGGAGAGAAACCAAAACATTGTAGCCTAGGAAAAGCTACAGTAGTAAAAGCTGCATTCAGCTGGTGGGAAATACGAAACAGAATCACGTAACTCCTTAGAAACATTTGGCATCATTATGCTTTTGTTTTGAGTGAAGCTACATGTAAAGGAAAGCACTGTTGAGCAGAAACCAAGATATAGCAGTATAATGTGGTTTTGTGCTTTGCAGTAGTGGGATTTCAAAAAGGGAAGGGGGACAAGAGAGGGTAGCAAAAAAGGGAGCCAGCTAGCTACATATAAGCACTTGTCTTTTTAGTCCTTAGGATTTACTTGGATCTGAAGCAGCTAATGGATATTCCAGGTGCTTTCATGCAGAATCTTTTTCAGGGTAGACCAAAATGTGTTATGCCATTTACTGTGTTTGTTTAGAAACTGAACCAGAGTTACATACTATGAAACATATGTGTTTCCTATCTGGCTGAGGAAGGGCATCCAGCAGCACAAATGTATTTATATACATGTACACAGGATTTCAAACAGCATATGGCCAACACGGTGATTTTTGAGTAGTGCCTTGCTCTGCAGCCGGTTTGGAGAACAGGGGCTTCGTTTCCTCTGGCCAGTCCCAGCTGCTGAGACAGAATGACTGATGCTTCAACCTCTCCCTCCTCACCCTGGGCAAAGATCCCCAGGCCCAAATGAGCTAAGCTCTGGTGAGCACAAACGCAACTAGAACAGGTTTCCCTGACTACTCTGCAGCTGCAGAGTACTGGACTCTTCTTGCCATTCTTTTGCTGGAAAGGAGATAAGAAGAACTAGTTGCTGGTGGGACAGCTAAAAGGTATTCCAGTTCAGTGAGACAGGCTGGTCTTCACCAAATGGAATATTAACTGATCTCCATAATATGCCTATAACCTGCATGTACAAGGTGTTGAGCCTGGAGATGAGACCACTCTGCATGTTCTGATGTCATCAGCAGATGGGAAAGGATAATGTAGAACGAAGTTCTATGCTCACCCTGAGACTTTTCATGCCCATGGGGGATGGCTCCTGGCAGGGAGAACCCTGACCTGCAGCACATCACCCCAGTGTCTGCTACCTTCCTGCACCGATGATGGAGCAGCAGTCGGGGCACAAACACAGCCCTAACAGCCAAGCTCTGATCCCTGCTCCCAGGGGTGGCCAACACAGAGCCATGAGATTGCTACCTGTTCTAAGAAAGCCTGGGATAGGTCCCAGTACGGGGCTTGCTGGTGGCAGGGTTCTTATAGGAGAAGCATCTCTAAAGCAAGGGTCATTTACTTTAAATCATATATGTGTATGTGTGCCTTGTGAGCCAAGAGATGATGTCCTGGCCTATAACCATTGCATGCCAGTGGTTTGACATCATTAATTCTTGCATTTCTTTACAACTGCAAAGAAATGCAAGGTTTGCAGCCTTTTTATACTCACAGGATAGTGAGAAGATAAGATTTAATTGCAGATTTCATCAGCACAGCAACCCATTGTTTTTCCTGCAGCACCAACATGTGAAATACACATGGCCGACTGGTCTGCCATTAGCATCCATCTGAAATCTTCATATAAATTTTGTTTTGTGTAGAAATCTTTATCTCATTTTCACCAGTTACTGCAGACCAGCCCAGCTCTGTAAATAGAAAACTCACAGCAGATGGAAGAATAAAATGGGACTTGGTGCAGAAAGCTCTAAACCCAAGGGAGCTCTGTCGGGTCTGTGGCGTTCACCCTGTGCTTGCTGGCAGCGAGGGAGCAGCCCAGAGGGCTGCTTTGACCCAGATAGGCAGATTTCTTGCTGTGTTACAAGAAACAGCAGGATACAGCAGCCTCTAATTTCCACAGAGATGCTGGTCAGTCATCTGGTCAGACACATGTCTGATGAGCAGAAGTTGTGCAGTACATTACTTTGTTATGCCGCTTAACAAGTGCATATGCAGTAACAACAGCAAGGGGCAGGGTTAGAACTTTTTGTGGGTTTCAGTTCCTCAGGGGTCAAGTCATTTCTCACCATTCAAAGGGGAAGACTGAAATGTAGTAGAAGCAGGCACAGTGCCTGTTTCCACATTTAGTCCTTCTTGTGCACACTTCCTTTCACGTGGTGGCTGCTTGAGGCTGCCCCCAAAAGATGGTTGTCAGCAGCCTGTGCCGTGGTATGTGGGAACACCCACAAGGGTGGATTAGGCTGCAGTGGTTTAATGCCTTTACACAGGACCTATTCCAAATGTGAATATTGGTCTCCTGAGAGAAAAATTGATATATTTATATACTGAGTGTCCAGCCACACATTTTAAAGCAGTATTGTAAGGCTCAGCCAAGTTTTTCAGGAAAAAATTGGTAACTGAGTCAGCAATCCCACATAAGGGTGCAGCAGCATCATTAGAAAACAATGATTAGGAACAAGTTTAAAGAAGAAGTTACAGGTTGAGGAAAATGAGTTTCCATGACTCATGATTTGCAGGCCAAAGCAGTTGGACAAGTACATGCTCCAAAAGCTGCTGCCGCTCGCAGCTGTATGTGGGTCACTGTCTCGGAGCCAATTAACTTGGTGTGTGCTGGCTAATGACCTCTTTAATTCAAGGGCTGGAACGGACCTCACCCACTGAGAAACAACCCGTGCATGCAGGATCAGGGCTGATTAGAGCTAGGGCTCAGAGCTGGAAGAGCTGTAGGAGTTCTCTGTGGGGTTAAATGTGTTTTGTTCACCACATGTAATGGAATTGGAGCATTTAAAAATAAATCTCCTGCTAGCGTCTCCCAGATAAGACTGTATTATCTGAAATGGGGCTTCCCTCAGTTTGAATTTTGACAGGAGTATAGAAATTGGCCTGCAAATAGGGTAGGCTTAATGTAAAGGGTGTCTTACAAAGTCAGGCTATATCCCCACAGAAGATTACTGTATTCAGTCTCTGTTCTGTACTAGTTCTCATGCCTTTCTTAGCACATAGTATCTGAGCATTGAAAGCTACTGAACAACTTATTGCTATCTATAATTAACAATGGCATTTTATTTAATTCTGTAAAAGATGCAGTTTTCCATGCATATGCCTTTGCTCCACTTGTTTCAGTAGCCTGGGGCAGGTTTTAGTACCTTATGCTGTAGAGTCAGTCTCACCTTCTCTTTGGGACTCTGCTGCTCCAGAAGCCTTTTGCTCTCCCCATTTGATGGTCAGAAGTACTGGGAAGTCTGCAACACCTCCAAGTCACCCAGGCTCTGTGAGATGCCGTAGAGAAGAGGAAGCAAACTTACTGGATTTCAGCCAGCTCAGCCCTGGCTGAAAAACCTTCCTGATCTGCAAGAGAGCCATCAGTGAGTCATGTGGCATCCTGAAAAACACAGCTCATGTGTGACAGCTCTGGAGAGGGAGGAAGCACGGGGCAGCTCAAAAGGATAAGAGGCTTTAGGAAGGTCATCAGTGCAAGTGAGTCATAGAAGTATGACTCACTCAGTGAGGCACAGATGCAAATCCAATCAGCGCTGGCAGTTTAATTTGCACACGCTATGTGTGCTGTGCAAAACCTACTGAATAAAAATATAAGCTGGGCACTAGGAGGTTTTTCTCCTCACCACTGTCATGTGTGACTACATGGGAAGCAGAGAGCTCCAGAGGGATCTGCTTATTCCCACCAGTCTTGTCCCTAGCATGCTGAAAATCTGATTTCTGCTCCTCCACTTGTGTTACTGCCTCCTGCCTTTCTTCCAGTCACTTTGCACACCTCTGCTGGCCAAACTGGAATCTCTCCTGCTGGTGAAGGAGATGATGGACATGAGCACTTCGCCCAACCAGTTCCAAAATAAGTGGAGACAGCTAGTTGTTTGGCAGGGAGCAGCCACGCCCAGAGCTCCAAGAACAAAACCAGTGAAGTTTACGATTCTGTGGTAGGAGTATTGCTACAGTAGCAGTTTGTTTTGCTTTATACTGAAAAAAAAAGGAGAATAATTTGTAATAGTGGTTAAAAGGTTAGAAATAATGTCAGATTTCAATTAAAACTTTAACACAGGCATGTTCCTCTAGACAGGCAAGAATAGGAAGACCCCTGACATTCCAATCATATAGAATACATTGATTTAATGTCAGAGTAAGTGAAACAGAGTATTAGAACAATCAGCTGATATATAGGACCATCACAAAATCATTGGCCAGGTCAGGTCAGGCCCGGCCAGAAGACAAGGAGGGTTTCCTGTAATTTGCTGGGTGATTCTTCAGTCCCCAGCATGCTTGTGCTCTTTTTAGTGGGGTTTGCTTCCAGTTTCTAATACCCCCAGTTGATGATATTTAAACATCCTTCCCCTGGAGGAATTCAAAACTGATTTATGTTCACTTTTTGCTGCTGTCCCTGAGAATTCTGCATCTGCAGTACCACCTCTTTTGCCACAGTCTAACTTGTGCCTTCATTTTATGTAGTAAAACTCACCCCTGACAGTATGCAGTGTCCCATGCACAGTAACACAGTGCCTGACTGAACTCATCTCTGTGTTTCTGGAAAGGTGTAAGAAAGAAAGACAGCATATGTGACCTGCTCATTTAAGGAAAATGGGGGTTATATACACAAAATGATGTTACTTTAGCTATATTCAGGACCAAAGAAACCTCTTCTTTTCAAATCGATTGGTCTACCTGAAGAATATTACTACTACCTGTAATATCAAATATCTGGAATAGTAAATTTCATTCAGGTAGGTCTAGGCTGCTGCATCTCTGCCTAGATGGAGCAGCTCATAGTGCAACACAAGTATCAATAACCACAGAACCATATAATCACAGAATGGCTTGGGTTGCAAGGGACTTTTAAAGGTCATCTAGTGCACCCCTCTGCTGTGGGCAGGGACACCTTCCGCTAGATCAGGTTGCTCAAAGCCCCATCCAGCCTGGCTGTGAACACTTCCAGGGATGGGGCATCCACAGCTTCTCTGGGCACTGTGCCAGTGTCTCACCACCCTCGCTGTAAAAAGTTTAGTCCTTTTGTCCAGTCTAAACCTTTTCAGTTTAAAAGCATTGCCCCTTGTCCTGAAACTACAGGCCTTGGTAAAATGTCTCTCTCCATCTTTCTTAGAAGCTCCTTTTATATATTGAAAGGCCACAGTAAGGTGTCCCTGGAACCTTCTCTTCTCAAGGCTGAACAACCTCAACTATAGTTATGAGTAAAGGTGCTAGATTACTCACAGAGCCCCTACACATACTTACAGTCAATGCAACCAGCAAAGTGACTGTCCCTTGCTTCTAGCAGGCTCATATGCTTATTTATATAAGAATAGAATTGCTCTAACAGAAAACTGCATAGTTTATTTTTCTGCATAGAATAATAAATCCCTTTTCTTTTCAGGGTTACTTGATAAGCTGCGTGTGGAACTGTTATCGATACATTAATGGCAGAAACAACTCAGATGTGCTGGTGTACATTACCACCAATGACACTGCGGTAAGGATGTTAGATCACAAACATTTGTCTAATATTATATGTTTAATAGCTTTATTTTACATTAAATTCTGACTCCTTAGTTAACCATATTCATTCTTTTAAGAGTCATAGAATCATAGAATCATCCTCATCTGTTGTTTATGTTTAGACTTGAGATTCAACAGACTGGTGTACTGTGGTTACAAATCACATCTACTGCTATAATACTGCTTTTATTTTATGCATATAATCTGTTAAAGAATCAGTGTTAAGCATAAACTACAGTTTACCTTGTGGCCACAGGAATGGCCCCCAGTTCTGAGCTCTTCAGCTGTGTGATGGTCTGGACACTGGGGGGGGAGACTGATTAGGACCCATGGATGCCATAGTATATATGTGCTGTGAAATGTGGATTTCACTGTAGAAACTGTCATTTAGGACACTCAACATGTGATGTAGTGCTTTACACACTCACAGAGAGGAGCTAAAAGGCAACAAAAGTTCAGGGATTCATCTCCCAGCACATGATAGGCTTTGCATAGTAAGGAGGCAGAATAAGAAAGGGGATCAACATGAAAGGAATGAATAAGCAGGTTTTAACCTCAAAGAATGGAAGGTTCATTTTATAGAAAGTTAGTTATGACATGGGTACATGCAGAGCTTGACTGCTAAGCAAGGTCTTGCTTGTTGAAGAAGGCACTGAAGAACACAAGAAGAAAGAGTCCCTGGAGAGAGCTGGTTCTGTTTGCAGCAGTATCTCCGTGGAGCTGCTTGGTTCCACCCAAGCTACACACTAGAGCTGTGCCAAATCGGTCCCTGGGGTGACTCCACTGGCTTATGTAATGAGGGTCTTTACATCATTTATGTAACAGAATGAGAGCAGCATGAACTCGGCCCTTTGGATCATCTGGGTAAAATTTGAGGATTGCCTTCCTCAGGTTTTCCTAATCATGGGTGGTCTCCACACACTGAGGTATTAAACCTCAACTTTAAAACCACTGGAATGAGTATTCCTTTGCAGCTGCAAAAAAAAAAAGCCACTTAGAAAACCATTACAACTTTTGCATGAAAGCTGTAACTCTTGCGTAGTTATTTGTCTTCAATACCTGGAGCTTTAAGAAAAGCGTAAAAGGTTTTACAGAATATGATAAAGAGTTGGCAACCAAGACATTTAAGTATAAAAATACAGGTTTATTGAAAGCTAAGAAGTATTTACTACTTTCTTTACTGGGATTTACTTTGAGTAAAACCAGGAGGTTTATGTGAAATGATTTTGATAGCTCTTTTGTTCAGCTTGCGGGTAGCTGTAACTCATCTTCAAACATTGCTAACTCTACAACCCACAGAACTGGCAGGCTCGGTGGTGGGATGGTGTCAGCTGGATTATTTTGCAAACTAAATTTACTAAGGCTTTTTAAAAGCTACATTAAAACCACTTGCTGCTTTGGCAAAGGAAAATACTTTGGTTTTCAGAGATGCCTGATTAACAAAACCTCTCTTGGCACTTTTGTAGTTAGTAATCACCGAAGTGCTCTCAGCTGCCTCCTCATCTTTAAAGTACTTGTGTTTCTGTGTGAATGGAAGCCATTTTATCTCATTTACAGATGACATATTTTTGCAGTGATAGTTTAAATTAATTTTGCTTATCTTGATCTTACAAGACAGCTACAGAAGAGGCAGGTTTTGAGAAATCTTGTGCATTCCTAGCTAGTGCCCTGACCATTTGGCTCTTCTTTCCTTAATATTCACACTGCCTTAATTTGAATATGGTCTTGCGTTCAGGTATGATGCATCTGTAGTTCGTTCTTTCTACATCAGTTAAATGAGATATTAGGTTAAATCCTTATTCTCCACTGTGGATCCAAAGATTGTTGTTCCCTTCATTTGCCCCTTCAAATTAGACTCAAAAAGATACTTTTTTTCTATGTCTACATTGAGAGACATCAGCAAGAACTCCTCTTCAGATGACTGTAAAAAAGTAAGCTCAACACAATGGATAAAAATGGTTTAAAAAATGAAGTGTGGAACAATAGGGCCTTGAAAGTTGAGTGCTGGGGATCTTTGAGAGTTTAGGACTCTTGAAGAAACCTCATGAAATTTTGAACTGCTGTGATAGATCACTGCTGTCTGTTGAATTGTATAATATTCCTCCAACACTCAAGTGTACTTTTGTATTAAAACAATGTTTTCTTATTTTTATTGATGCTGGGAAACTTCTTTCGCTAGGGGTCCTTCACACAGACATGCCTCTGAATTCTAGACTACCAGGTTCTTAAAACATGTGGGTCAGTCTCTGCTCTCTGTTTTGAAAGAAATGTCTCATTTTTAGACTCAAAACTGCTACATGAATTCCAGTAGAGCTGCAGCTCATTTCTGCAGGGCATATTCTCATCTTCAGGGATGTTTTTTTGATATATACTTCTCATCATCATTGCTGAAACAATACCAGTCTGTACAAATGGAGGTGAAAATCTTAAGTTTAATTATGGGACTGGGCATAAGAGCTACACTTAGACTAACAAGCTTTAAATATGCCCCAACACTTCCAAAACCTAGAGATCAGATCCCACCTAATATCCCTTGTACTGCGTAGTAATTGACGTATCACATCTACACTTTACACACAATTTTTTTAAGTTATTAGGTTTTCAAGTGCTAGACACTGTATTACAATGAAAAAAGAATTTAGAATAAAGTTTAGATATAGGCTACAGTATGGATTAGTTTACTGCCAAGCTTAAAAGATCTGGTTTATATATTTGCATGATTAGAAATTCAGAATCTTTCTCCAGTTACATTAATATTTTCAATGGAGCTAAGAAATTTATTACTCAAATGCTTTATTATTGTGTCTTCTAATTTTTTGTGGGAGAGCTATCTTTGAAAAATAACTTAAAACTAAAATGTGTATCTTAGTTCTATTATAATTTGCATTCAGAGGAAAAAAAGAAATCTCTACCTTCAATAACACATCATCAACTAATTCATCCTTGAATTCAAAATTCTATATACCTGGAAGACTTGTACTGAAAATGGAAAAAGAATGGGTAAGCCCCTCTCCTCTACTAATTCTAATTACACACAATTTAATAGCCATAAACAATTACATTCATGTTATGGCTATTTAATGGTTGTTGTGTGCCATTTTTTTTGAAGGGAGACATGTCTGTTGTAAAAGAAGACATGTCACCAGCAATAGCTATTTTTATCTCTGGTCTTTTAACATCTTGGCAAAATCAGATTCTTGGATCTTCCATTGCCAGATAAATACAAATTTACTTATACCTTCATGAGGATTATTATTTTCCCTCTTATAACTTTTGAACTAGAAGTTACCTGTTTTACCTGCTCAGAAACCTTGACAAGTATATCTTCAATTTAAATGGAAATAGGACACTAATGACTGAGCTTTTCTCAAGAAGAACAGTCAAATCCTTACTAGCTGGGATGCTGTGGCATGAGAGGCAGGAAGGATCCACAGTTACTTGCTGGCTGCAGGAGCTGTGAACCCTTCTGAGATGTTTAAATTACAGGTCTCTTTCTTAGGAAAGTAAGAAACTTCTTTAATATAGAGTGCTAGGATTTGGTTCAAGAGAGTTAGAAGTTGTGATTGTATATAATTGGTTCTCCAGTCCAGGAAGCTGTTCTGAAAATTGTAACTGGATTATCTTTCGTTTTACTGTATTTCTTAATTTACCACTGGGAAGGTGGGTAAGCACATTTACACATCACATTGGATGTAATTTGATTAGGAGAATGGACAAGTCCTTAAGCACAGCTGTGCAGGCCTGCTTTTTTGTTCCTTGGCTCTCTGCATTCAGGAAGTCTTTGGTTGATCTCACAGTTAGTTTCCCCCATTTCTATCTAAAGCAAATCCATTGTGACTCTGTAAATTCATGTTGGGAGCATCTCAACAGCAGTATTCATCTGTCATCTTCTTGTCTGGTGACGTGGTGGAAATCTACTGATATGTCCTTCCAAGAGCTGAGCTTTTGTGTTTTCTGTCCTCATAAAGCACTGCTCTTTGCCAGCACTGGTCGTTGGCACTCTGCTGCATCTGTCGTACCTTCTCTCATGCTCCTCGTGAGATGCTCTGTATAGACCCCTCTCTGTTACCAGACCCCAATTCAGTAATACTTGATTTTTAACAATATTCAGCTGTCTCTGCCTTCCTACTGACTATCCAATTGTAATACCACTAAAAGCCATGGGAACAACTCAAGTGTGGACTGAACTGGGGAGGAAATTCCCAGCACTGAAAGTTAGTTCCCCCCAGTCAAACTGGTTCTTAGAAATAATGCTCATAGATCTGAACTGTAACTAACCTGATAGATATGGTTATCGGCTGCCAGGTAATCTGATTTTTTTTTCACTCAGTGGTTTAAGCCATCCCTTTTGCAAGTGTGCCATCTGGAAGAAAAGGGCATCCTCTCCACTGCAGGCTCTGAACGGGACATTCCTGCTGCCCCTGTTAGGTGAGAGGTCCTCCTCCTGTGGTCCTTGATCAAAATTCAACTTCACATGAATGTACCTGTCTTTGCCCAAAAAACAGACTGTGTTTGTGGATGGGGGGACCAGGAGGTACTACTGGGCACGGGAATGGACCCCAGCTGGTGGGAAGACATGACCCCCTAGTGCTCCTGGGGCTGATAATGCTAGGACCTGGGTATCCAGCTGTGTACCTTAGTCACAGCAGAGCCTCTTAGAGATATGGTAAAATCTACCCCCTCTAAGTGTTCTTCCAGTATTACTCTCCCCTCATTTTCTGGAGATATCTGTAGGAGATTTTGGCATGGCAGAAAGGTAACTCCCCTGCAGTGAACCGTAGTAACCTGAAGATTATTTTTTTCCACTTTCCCCAATCTGGGATTGCTTTTTCCTACCAACTGCTCAAGCACACCATGGATGAAGATTAGTTTTCTGCACTAATTTAAACTGTGACAGCAGTACCATGGAAATGTTCGTCTAATTTGGTAAAAAATGACAGCTTCTGAGCTCAGAAGATAACCCAAAGTCAGCCA